ATTTTCATTCTAATCAATGGCGTTTGTAAACGTGCACTGACGTCATCGTCGAATTCCAGGACTTTCGACGGTAAAGCTGGCCTGCCTGCCCCGGTCCCAGGCCAACCAATAATAATTAACAAAATGTTGTTTTTTTTAACATAGGCCTATGGTGCATGCACTTCAACTTTTACAACAAAAGCCTAGGCCTAGTACCTGTAGTATGTAATACTGTACTTAGGCCTACACTAGTTTGTTGTCATCGGGATATAATTCTGTCTAAATGAAGGAGCAGAACCAAGCTAGTCAGCATCTAGGCTAGGCTAATTGGTTTTGAAATCAATAACCCTTCTTTGCAACAGCGGACGAAAAAAAGTCAGTTAGGCCTATTCTAGGACGTTTCATGATTCTTTATCACTAAAAATTAACAAACACTCGTTTTGACGCACTCCGTTCTGTAGTGGTGTCTGCTGTTGAAAACAAACTTCCTAGCCTAATTTTGTGACTGACTATGATGACTGAGATGGACCATGTTGATTTATTAATAATATTTTGTTTGGGGTGGAAAAAAGGAGAGTCAATTTCCTCAAAATGCTCCAAAAGCACAGCTTAGTGTGCGCTATGGACATTATCAGGGTTGCCAAATAGTCGACAGGCTTCACGGCCAAACACACGCCATCTCACGGCCAATTTCGGCCAAACTTGTTTTCAATATCGGCCAAAATTCGACCAGATTTTAATCTGATTATAAGACAGTTATGTGGGTACATATTCATTTGAAATACTGCAAAAATTACAGGAAAATCAGGGGCCGTTCGTTTGAAATTGCATCAAAATAATATACACAGAACAATGTTAAACTTCTTTTAATTAATTTATCACCATAAAACACATGCCCAGCTACATCATAAAATTAAATAGCCTAGGCCCTATGTTCTTTAGTTGCTGACGCCCGAAAATAACCTTATGCGTTTGGGCGATCAATTTTTTTTTTTTTTTTCACGACTCGCCTCTGAATGTTATTGTCGCAGTACTTAAAGCAATAAATCAATGTTGCTATCAGAATTATCTTCTTCATTCTCATATGCAACCTAACTCAACAGAGACTCTGCAACGCTTGCTTGAAATTGGAGGAGCCATCGAACCCGGATGAGCACATCGAGCAATTATATATGGCGCTCTACATAAATAACACTGCAGCACCTAGGGCTTTACAATTCAAGTGGGCAATAATAAATTAATTAAGTATAGTATTTAATTTATATTCAAAAGAAATTCAAAAGAGATAGAACCTCCACTAGAATGGAACATATACAAAGACACACAGTATGGTACAAACTTGCATTGAACTGTCTTAAACGAGGATAACCTTCATAAAATATATATATATATATATATATATATTTCATTCGAACAATTTAAATTATTAAATGTAACTGTTATAAATTCGCCTAGTGGAAAACAAGCTTAACACGCGAACTTACTACTGCAATGAAGCAACTAAATGTTGTATCAATGAAAGTAATTTTAAATATGGGAAAATACGATTTTGGTGGTAAAGATTTAAAAACTCATAAAATGGTATTATTTGGAAGATTACCCTTGCATTTGGCTCCATTTATCCAGCTAGACGCAGTATACAGGACCACAAAAAACTAGGAATTCCGACCATGAAACAGGGAGTCGTCTTATACGCCAGACATACAAATATCAACCAAAAATCTTCTAAAACTTGGGGGTCGTCTTATACACGGGTCACCTACGCGAGTGTATTTTTTACATTTTTAATATTTTTTCTGCAATTTTATTCTCTATTTTTATGGGTCCTTTGTGCAATTATTTTTAATGTAACTTTAATAATTTGATTTTATTATTAACTTCGATTTATGTATTTTCTTATTGTCAATTGTAATAATTTGTATTGTACTTGAATATTACTAATTTAAATTTATATATTTTTATTACTAATTTGTATATATTTTTTCAATGTTGTAATTTTTGAGCAATGACTATTCTCAATGTAATTTCCTTTTGGACAAATAAATTTGAATTTGAATTTGAATTTGAATTACGGAACCTCTGCAGAAGTTCGGGTTCCTGTCACATTTTAAACGGTTGTGTTATAACAATAAACTCGCAAGACTGCTCGCGACTAAGATTCTACAAGTGCGTGGTTGGCTGGGTTGTTTTGGTCGGAAAGGAGAAATTTTCTCTGTGAATTGATTCTCGAACGAGATAAAGAAAGCTCTCTAATGACTCAAGCTACTGTATACCGTTTTTATATTTTTAATAAAACCAATTTCTTCTAATAGCTTATAACTTTGGCTCGAATTCAACCCTGACCACCAGGTGCAAGCTCGGTGGTCTAAAGGCATGATGCCAGGCTAGTGATCTGGAGAACGTGGGTTCGAGTCCCACTGGAGAACAACTTGCAAATATTTTTTGCAAGTGTTTTCACACGCACTGAGTAT